ATAAATAGATCATAAATAGATCATAAATAGATCATAAATAGATCATAAATAGATCATAAATAGATAATATTGATAAGAAGTGGTTTCTTGTAACATCTTAAGATGTGACATGTGACGGATATGATATCTTCACTGAGTAGAATGTACGAAATCTTAGACACTGGATGAATCCTGATACTCCATCGATATCTATATAATAAGTACCTTTCTCGTCTCCTTGTCCACCCTAAATAACCTGTCCATGCTTGTTTGATCGTTTAGTGCAAGCGAGATCGTGTTTCTCTTTTGTCTTGTCTGCTCTGTTATGAGCGATAAAACTCTCCTGAAGTAAACCTGATACGTGACATTGTCGAGATTTCCCTCTGTCTGAACACTACCTTATAATGATTGGTCTTGAACTCTTATTGAAGATGAAATATCCGAGTAGTTTTATACATGACACATTTATAGAGGATATTAGACGTTGGCGCGAAGATATGAAGTTTATCTTCGAGTGCTGAAAAAATCTCACTTGTGAGCGCATCGAACCATAGTTAATGGAGCGGATTGGTTAGGAAACCTATTGTTCTATGTTTTTGCGCGTCTTTATCCATTGTTATATGACGTTGACAGTGCACAGTGAAGGAAAAGTGAAGTATTTTTTGAACACGAGAAGATAAACCGTTCATATCTTCAAGCCAACGAGTAATTTTCTTTTTATCATATAGACATTTTCACACACAAAAACTAGTGAAGATATGGAAAATATGTTACTCAGGTCCCGGATGTAGTTTGTACGAAAAATACGAGTGACGTATTTCCCAGTAAAACACTATTGTCTATATAATATGAATAAATAAATGTGAAGTGTATATAAAAAGAATTAATGTGGTATGTAAGACTGAACTTAGAGAAATATTACTCAATTACTACAATACCCCGGCACATCCCATGATGCATCGTGGGCTTTGATAAGAACATTGTATATTAAAGATTGTATAAGTTTTTTGGAACCAAAAAAATTACAGATATGTTTGTGTGTTCGGTCTACTGACGACTGGCTAGCCTCGTTCTGGTGTTTTTTAACCGTTTTTAATTCTCATAACTTCTAAAGAATATAGTATTTCTACCTCAAACTTTCTACAACTTTGTTGATATCATTATAATCTATAATTTCCATCATTGCATCCCGTCGTCCACTCTCTTTTTCTTTTTCTTTTTTTTTTTTTTCTTTTTGCTGGGTTAATTATTTATTTCGTTTGTTTTGCGATTCTATATTTGCTTTCAACATTATTCCATTAGCACGGTATTCTAATCCGCCCCTCCTTCCATATTCAGGTCCTGGACGAGTTTCCGCTTCATTTGACTCTTCCATTAGTTATATCAAGAACTCCTTGACCACGGCAAGCGGTTTACAATGTTGTCCCACCTCTCCACCCTTTAAATGAATACCCCCTCGAACAAGACTATTATTCTCTGTCTAGTAAATTTTCTATCCTCATAGGATCTTATTAACCTCTTCGTTGGTGTCTATGCTTTTCTAATTTTCTCAATATACATTTCTTTCGTCGTTGTTCATTCAATCCAATAAGAGTGACTGTCTGCCATAGCTGACCTTATGATCTTTTATAGTTTTCTTTTCGGCCTTCGTTGTAAAGTTGTGGAGAGTGTTAGAAGGGGTACGTAGACGACGCCAGGTAGCATGAAGAGTTCGAAAATAAACTCAACTCTATTGCTTGTCTTCGTTGATAGAAAAAAAGTGATTTAACTTTAGAAGGATAGTGCTGGCTAATGAAACGCAATGCCTTAGCGCCTAATTTTCAGCTCTCGGCTCAACACTAGGTAGATTAATAATTGGCAGTCATCAGGGTAATTTTTCCCCAAAAAATTTGAAGCTCAAGTTACCTTAGTTGGTATCTAAAAATATGTGAAATAAATGATTTTCCGGTTATACGATAGTATATTTTTCTAAGTTTTAATCGTAAAAAATAGACAGCAAAAAGAATGCAGAAGAATTCTTTCTCGTTCATCACATGAATGTATGTGCTACAATATCTGGGCTTTTTCTTCAGGTCTCTTATCTCTATTAAGTGTTAGAAACGTAAACAGCGGTCATTTGACTGGTCGGCATTGCAAGGGACATTTCAAACCTGAAAACCTTTCGGCTGATGTGAATACCTAACCGGAATACAAACACAGTTTGTGACATTATTCAAGATAACCTAACTTGCAACCTTGACACTCGGCCACAAAACTAGAGAACTTTGTAATCTTTTCTTAATTTGCTGCAAGTAGACAACAGTCTGTGAGGGAATTTATTCGTATTATATCACAGGCAAACTAGGTGCACGCAATGTGTTTTCAAACTAAACTAATATAGCATGCAAAATATCTGAAGTACAAAATCATACAAAACTTTTGCATTGAACGTTGTGTGCAAATGCTGTAAAATAGACCGTACTTTGTCAACCAACAGCTCCACTTCAAAACCTTAGAAAAACAATTTAACCAAAATTTTGCAGTATCAAGTATCGCTAGACTAAAAGCTCCGGGATGCAGTAGTCATAGGGTTTATTTTCTCCTCTTCTATGTCTGGGGCTTTAAATTACATGTCATCTGTTCTCTAAAGAGCTAATAAAATGCGTGACCTCTTTTGAGCGACAGACGAGTTATCAGTTCCTTCCCCAAACCACAGGAATACGATTAGACTGCAAATAGAAAAATATCTTGACAACAAGCTGCTGTAAAATTGAACTAAAAAATCCCCCTTTCTGGTCTTTGTTGAATTGTCAGGTGATATAGAACGAGAGATATATAATGTAAGGTCCAGGAGACCCCAACTTGTGGCCTATAGGGACGCAGATGCCTAAAGACGAAGATCTCCTTAGATTACCAGGGGTATATCAAGGCGTATCCCATTACTAGTGCGGCGGGGTCACCTCATAGTTAGTCTTGGTTTCGATTCGTAAAAATACCACGAGTGGTTATGTAACGGTTGTTGTATGGATGGAAGGCTGTTTCTAAGCGAGATCGTGCATCAACACATGAACTTATTTTGTCAGAAATGTCATGCCAGTGATTTGCATTTTTGCAATGTGTTCGTGTTGCAGCCCAACGACAGACTTATTGACCGTTTCACTTCAAATTAATTTACTAAGTAATTAGTCTTTAAAACCTTAGATCGTTTTAAGTTGTCCTTTTAAAGAAAGCGGGGGAAAACCATCTTTACTGTACCAGTCAATGCTGCAGTCTTATCTTCACTAGCTACAGTCTAGTTGCCCTAGAGCTAAAGTTGTGCAAAGAGGTTCTGACCAAATCCAACCTATCGTAGATTGTGCGATTCACCATAATGACATTGCGCAACCAAACTTAGAGCTTTAAAACTCTCATTCGAAACTATGTAATCCAAAAATTAGTTTTCAAGAGGGCAGGGATTTCACCTGCTAATCATAGAGGGTTTAGGCTTGCAATGATTTTGTGCTGCAGGGTTCGTATCCATATTGCGTGGCCCGAGTATGCCATTAAGCATATATTTATTCTTAAGGACTGCATATCAATTAGCTGGTGATCGTTATTGCGATAACTTTATCGTCTCGTTCTAGATGCCCTTGAAACAAGGCGATAACATTTCGAGCAAATTCCTGCCGGTTTGCTACGTATATGACTGGTGTGTTTGCGAACCGGTCCCACATTGTGTACTCTGTGGAATGGGATAACTACCCTCCTTCCATAACCATAGCTTGAACTCGTCAAGGAAAATGGATTGGCAGTTTTTGTGGTTAGGGTACTAAATATAACCGGTCGGCTCTAACTGTCCCTCATGACCTCAGGGCTATCGGCATTAGAACTAACGAACTCCCTCTATCAATACATATCAAGTTACTTGCGAAACGAAAATAATATCTGTCGATTTTCTTGATATGTGCTATATTTTGTCCCCACAAATAACGAAAAGGATAAAGTTACGAGGATTTTAAAAACTTAAGATCAAAAAGATTGTTTTAATTTGTAGGATTTCAAGTGGAAAATAATTCTCTTTATCTGTCAGAGCACAAAAGTACATATCGTGCAAGTCTGTATTCGTTCATGTGGTTGTAATGTTTTACTTTCAAAAGCACGAAACATCATTTCAGCTATACATCTGTAGTGTTTTTATAATTTATCTCATTTAAAGCAGCCTTTAGTGAAACTATATTAGGATGCATTAGTTACTTATGTTGTTGTTGTTGAAAAGTTAATCTAGCGAAACAACCCAAAATCTCACACAAAACTCTGATAAAAGTTTTATTTAGCGTTCAGAATAACACGGCATAACTTACAATAAACACGAAGATACTTCTTCGTGAAGTCGAAAATATTAGTAAAGGATAGAAAAAAATGATAAGTTGGTTTTGAAGTGGTTTAACATGTAATGGAGTGTTCTGTTTTATGTAAAAACGACCGACGGAATCACGCCACTATATCACGCTTCGCTTCAACCTCTCTAGCTCCTTTGGATTATGTTACACATTTTCTTCAGCTTTAAATCAACTTTTCAAATTTCCTAAACACTAATAGAACGGTTTTTAAATAGCCAGAAGAAGAAGAAAATAGTTTGTAATAATTATTTACTTGGTTGGAGTAAATGTCATTACCAGTGTTTGTCTGTCAAATATCATCATATAAGCCACAGATATATTTACAAAACGAAGTTAAAAAATATTCCTTGCTGTGAAGCGACCCCACTGAAGCTAAGGGGGTTTTTATATATAATGTTATGTATGCTGTTCATAATTGAATGTTATTTGCAAAATCTTTTGTGCAAATTTGTCACGAGTGAGTCTCGTATCCTGCTTGAAGGAAAAAATCTTCATTGTGAGAATTGTCACATATCATCCATGGTACTTCTCAGTCTTCCAGTGTTTAATTTTGTCTCTCGTTCCCTTTCATTACTTTTACTTCCAAATGAGAGTATGTGTCCGCCCATGACTTGCAGTAACTGGATTCGAAGATACAGATTTAACGGTGGTTGGAAGGGACACGAACTGTGTGCGTGTGTGACTCGAAGTAACGTTTACATCTGCCTCTGAGAAAGGAAAAAACGCGGCACTTGAATCTGTCTGCGGCCTTTGCTGCATGGTCGCGGAAGGAGCAACACGATTCGGTGGAAAACTGCATTCGGTCGGTAGTTTCTGGAGCTGTGCCATGAACTCTGTATAACTTGGGGGTGCAGGGGAGGGTTGTATTGAAGGTTGAGTACTCGTAGTCAGAAACTTTACACTTGTTTTAGCGATGTTGTTTACTTGTGTTGTCGTGAGAGCTGCGGCTGAGGACACGACTGGTGGGGGATCCAAGATGGCTTGAGTATATGTTGGAAGGTATTGATCAAGTTCTGTGGTATCGACGTCGCCCATGGACATGAGATCCGTCGTAAAATCCACATCAAAATCGATCGTGTTTCCATGCGAATCCCCTTTCTTGGAGCAGGATGTAAATGGGATTCCAAGATCATGGGGCCCCAGAGTGCCATCCTTGATTTCTCCTTCTAGTTTGACCGCTGCAGTCGTAGTTGTTGGTGTCTCTGGACTTGGGACAGAAATGGAGCTCGGACTGCTTATGTCACTGCCACTAAGACTCTCCGGGCTAGCACAGCTCGTACTGCTCTCGCAGCTTCCCGGCATCAGCTTACTATCACCTTTCAAAACTTTTAGTAAATCATCCGCAGAGATGGTCGAGTCGCCAATGTCTCCTGGACCATTCCCTTTTTGCTTTTTACGTCTTGGTTGATATTTATAATCTGGATGCTCACGCTTGTGTTTGATTCGAAGTCTCTCTGCTTCTTCGATGAAGGGTTTTTTCTCCGAATCGTTTAACAGCTTCCATAACTTTCCCAGAGTTTTGCTCAATTCGGCATTGTGTAAGTGAGGATACTGATCAGCAAGCTTGCGCCTTGCTGCTTGGGCCCAAACCATGAATGCATTCATGGGTCTTTTGACGTGCGGTTTTTGTTTATGTCCACCATTGACTCGCACTGGAAGAGGGATCAAACTCCAGTCATATCCATCCAGAACATGATTCACTGCTGATGCGATAGCATTGCTCAATTGATGATTCCTGACATRTGGTGTGTCTCCATCTATCGGCGCCGTTATACTAACATTCTGCTCTGTCATCTTGTCCTAACAATTATTTTCGACCCGCTTGTCTTCTTGGAGTAAAATCCACAGAGATAAAAAAAATCTAAGTTGGTGCCAAATGAGGCAAACAGCATATATAATCATTGTCCAAGCGACATTATCTGTTATTACTCCGCAAGCCGGTAAAGCGTGACGTCTTTATCATCAATGCTTCCGATTGGCCCACTACGAACTAACTAGCCAATCAGAGGTGCCCATTTGAAGACACTGACAGTTGTGGTTTTGGAGCATGCGATGGAAATAATGAGCGCGTTTTTTAATTGGATACAGGCCACGTGACAAGGAAAGGGTGTGTAGTGTCAGAGGACTCTACGATTACTCTTCTTTCCGTTATTCATTGTGTGTGAGTACAGTTTATCATTCCATAACAACCGCGAAGATTAAATAGTTTGGTGGTTAAGCTCTCATTCTGGGTCAATTTAAATATTCCGTGTATTGAATGAAATAGTTGGAAAATCTTGTTAACTTATTCGCCCTGCTGTCACACTTTAGTTCATTAATTAACCCTTCGCTATGCCCTTGTACACGCTACACGTTACATGTTACAGAGATCGTGACTAGTCTTTTGGGCGGAATTACAATCACAGCCAGCGTGCGTTGCGGCGATGATTCCGATATGTAGGCACAGAAGTAGGAAAGATTATTTTCACGATTCAACAGGACCTGCGTTCAAGAAAAGAAGCGCGGGCGAGAGATTACAACCCTACGAAGGGAGCTAGCGCTAAAAATAGCAGAGAGGAGGAAAACGTGACTTAACCTTCAAGTACCTTCCGTCCTTCTCTTATGACCCTTACTGATGGCTAGATGCACATTTTCTTCGTGGATAGACTAGGCGACACTCGGTTAACCATATGCATTCTCGTTGGCAATAAATATTTCGCAATTTTTAGCTATTATTATCTTCGGGGTTGAAATTGACTCATGAAATATTCGAGTTTATTCCACAGTGATATTGCGGAATAAAAGGTTTTAGGTAAAAGGTCTTTGAATACGCTAAGAGACAGCACCAGTCACCGTTGCCCTTCACACTCCTTTTTTAACTCCAAAATTCAAGACTGAACATCCGATTTCTGTATCGTTTTTTTCGAGAAAGGTTCAAGAAAAAAGTTCAAGTCGCAAGCGCGGTTAAATAGCGGTGAATTTCTTTAAGATCGGCGTATCCCTTAGACATATTTGTCCGGCTAGACGGGAAATGGACCATAGTTTTTTCACCTTTAATCCCACTTGAGGACAAACTCCCCAAACTCTCTATCACCCTTTACCCGCACGAGCATACACTGCACCCGGTACAAAAACATCCCGTAACTAATCCAGAGTCATGGGCGGTTGGAAATCAAGGATTTGAGAGTTAGAATAAAAATATAGATAAGTTATTTCAACRACATTCAGCTTGCAGTTTCAAAGTGTTGGTTTCGTTCATAGATAATCGAGGGTTAGACTAGTTGTTCTGTCATCGCGAGGCGGAGCTTATGTATGCTTCATTGAGACCCGATTGGACGGGATGTAGACTTTTGTAACCGCATTTCCTATTTACTAAAAGTGTGAAGCTTAAACAGTATTTAAAGTGAACTGATATTTGACCTTAGAAAAGCTAGCCGAAAAACTTGAATTTTTTATCTGTTTCGGTGAAGCATTGAAGTTCATTGCAAAAAAATTGCGACGAAATCGGTGCGTTTGGTAATTGAAGACAGGATAACCCTGGACAGAACCTGAGGAAAATAACTTGTTGAAATCCAAGGAAATTAAATAGGTTACCGTGATTTTCACGCTTCTAGAGCTTTTTACTCTTTTATTTTTTACTTACGCTAGATAAAACCTTCAAAATCGATTACAAATTTATTCAAAATCCCATAAAGTTATAGAAAATAGATTCACTCGCTATTAGTTCGTGAAGTTTTTATCTAGTTTACTTGTTATGGTAAATAATTGCACAGCAAAAGAGATGGAACGTGATCATAGAAAATCCTGATGACCGGATGTGAAGCCATTTTAGTTTACCTCAGCTGTCAATCATCTATTGTTGACGCATTTCCGGTAGAATAATTGATTATTTCGGCGGAAGTGTGGGTGTTTGGTCGCTACGTTTAGTAATAACAGAGAGAAAAACACCGAGGTAAAACGACAAAAGATGTAAACAACTCACGGAAATACAGACTGTGTAGAGTGTGACGATAACATGTAAAAATGCCGCAACAATGCATCACCTTCACATCATTGAAAAGATATTATTTTGTAATGAGATTTTGAGTCTCCAACAGCATCAAATCATAGACCAACTCGGTCCATACATAGCTTAAATTTTATGAAATTTCACTAAATATATTCCTTAAAAGTCCGGCTTAATCGAGTAAAAATAGTAACCCAACCACAAGTCTATGTTTAGATTTCTCTCGCTGTAATTTTTTGTAAACATATTTGTACACATTAAGTACATTCCATGACCCTACCTCTCCCCCCTGTGGTGATAGAATGTTCTAGATGACGGAGCACACGTCCCGGATCCTCCAGTTACGCGTATTTGCGATTCTTCCGTATAYTTTTGGGTGTTGGTTATTTCCAGTAGGAGTAGTTGGTATTTACAATGATAACTAGAAGGGTTTAATGTATCAAGCCACAGGACAGATATTAGGCTGATAAGCTAGACCACACCTCTACACCCTTCAACTAGAATAATATTGGCTCCATTCATCCTTCCATCCTTCCTTGTTATCGGAAGAAAAACCAAACAATTTATCATGATGTTTTTATCGTAAACTAACTACACATTTTCTGAGTCTGTACTATCTATATTTAGTCTTACGCCTCACAGTGTACATTTTGGTCGTTTTTTTCTTCTCTCGTTCTTCTTCTTCTTCTTCTACAAGATATTTTGAGATAAGCTGATAGCTTTAGTACATAAGAAGAAAGAGAAAATAAGAAATTTAGCCACTAGACGAGACTGAAATAAGGCTGAAACATTGTTTACAGTGACTTAAAATATTGCATGGTAACGCCTAGACAAAGCATTGACCACCCGTTGTCTACTGTCAAAAGTACTCCGCTTCATCTGCCATAATTGTACTGACAAACTGTCTCTTTCTTCACGTCATTTCAATATCATATAACAGGCAATCACATAGCAATATCAACTGAGAAAATTATTGTAAATTAGTTTTAAAGAAAACCTATTTCTCGTGGACAGAATGTGTGAGGCACTTGGTCGAGATCTCATCTGACCATCGATATGGTCTCCAGTCTTGGTGTGGCTTTTAGGAGTGGTTTAATCAGTTATATTATACCAGCATCAATTTGATAACGTTAATTAACAAATTTATAACCCTTACGTTAGTTTTACGTCGAATTATAAATAAAACCACATGTTTACGACTTAAAAACCACTCAAAGTTCAAAAATAGCAGCTCAAAGCCTAACTCCAATTCCTCAGTCGTTCTTGTCGGCGTCCGTGAACGGTTTCCGTCGTTGTCTGAAATTTTCACACGTTCGTCGTTAGATTTGGTTTGGAATCGCTCTAAAACTATTTTCCCGAAAAGCCGGTTTGCAAAACCTTCGAGCCCAGTTTAGTTTATTACCTAATCGAGTGTGTATTTCCTTGGCCAACTAGAGGATTTTAAATCTGAAGAAGAGTTTCCTCCGCATAACGGATGGTCATCATATTCCTGAGAAGGAAAGAGGGGAGGGATGGGGTGGGCTAACTCATGATTTGACGCTCATCAACAAGTTTAGTGACCAATTCTCTATTTATTGGACGAGAGATTTTTTCCCCAATCACCACATTCCATTAAACCATTAAACTTTTCAGTTTTCCCATTTTCTTATGGGCATATAACCCCGCTTCTTCACCTCTGTTTGCACTCTTAGTTTTTCGAGAGGTGATGAGAGGCATGCTTCATTTCTTGTGTATCTCGCATATTTTGTTGTTGCAATTGTAAAATTCTATAATACTTATATTACGACTTATATTCTATTATGTACACTCAAATTTTTTTCAGTGTTTCACTGAGAGGTTTCACTAGCTTCTCTAAATTCGGTTTAATGTCCATGGCTTAACATGGATGATTCATTCTTTTAATCTTTTTCCACACAGCTCGTCGTCGCTCGAGGACAGACATTCAGAGGGAACCGACGATATCAAGTTAATGCTTTTGTGAGCATGTCTGGTGAGAGTAGCTCAGTCGTCCCCAAACCTGTGTATAACGGAAGGAAACACGGTTATTGGCATGATTAGTGACGATAGCATACACTTTGGCGGACATGACAGCCTAACAGAGCAATGGCGAAAACCGGCTCAATAACAGACGGACGATCAAGGTAAACGACAAAAGTAAAAATTTCAATTCTTAATTCTTAAGCGTCTTAAAACCACAACTACCAGAATTCTGGTAGAAGTGGTATCAAGACGATATGCTCAGGAAAGGGACATAAAATCCACGAGGATCTGCGGGTCTCATGTTTACAATCATTATTTCCTTATCCTCTTCGTGACCGATAGACACTACTCGAAGAATTCTCTTCATACTTTTTAATCTGGTCGATTTTTACCACGATAATCTTCAATCCCACTCGTTCCTTCCCTGGTAACGTCTAGACGGTGAACAACATGGTACTTGAGGGTACTAGTGATAAGTTGGTCGCCGGCGACGTGGGGGTAGCTCCACCCTGTTACCTCACCAGTCTACAGACGCCTGGCCCGGTAGGGTAGGGTATAAGCATGCCGTATCACTGCCCAACATCGTACGCGGAATTTGAGAGGAAAAAAACAAGAAAAATCAAAACGGATAGTAAAAAGAAGTGGTTTCGGAAACTTGATTAACTTGATTGATAAGGACATGCTTCCTATTCTTTCTCGTTTTTTCTTTCTTTTCTTCGTAGTTTTTCCATGAAGTAATTCGTTCAAGTTTCCAATGTTGCTACTGATATGAATGATTCTAGAGTATTATAAGTTCAGTACTGATAGTAAATGGAAGGGTACTGTTAATCAGTTTACGACCAAAACGTTGACGTTTGTCCGTACCTCTCAAACCACTACTGTAACCTGAAGATTGAGAATCGATCAAATCAGACCCTCGATATTGACCGCTATTACTCACATATCTGTAAGCAATGCATTATCTTAACGATGTGTTAGACCTATCCAGTCGTGTTTAGTGCCCGAATGTTGTGAACTAGTCGTAAAACCACACCTTAGCTTACTACAGAAACACGGACGTCAAAAGAGGAAGGAGTAGGAGTGAGAAAATCATTACCAGCTATTATTTAATATTGTATATTTTTTATCTCACGGTTGAATAGGCAACGTGTAAGCATGTCACGTACAACCTTGCTTCGACATGAGTCCGACCAAGGACTCAGTTATGTGTTGTTTTTTCTTTATCTAGTCTATTAGCCTAGATTTTTCAGTGGCTGGAGATAGAACATCAGATTATGAAATACTTCAAACATTTCCTCTAATCAGGGAGCAGTTTCTGTTATGGGAAGGGCGGGGAGGGATTGTTTGTTGTACAGACGCCATGTCGCCTATTATAAACCAATGTTATCTTGCTTGTTACTCACCCACAACAACCAGGTCAAATGATATAATTGAACTTAGATCTTATCTGAAGAAAACACGGACTTTAAACAGCACTGTGATATGAAACTTCCTAAGACCATTTCATGTCTCATTACCATTGGATTTTCACCTACTTAGTCTGCTGTTTCAGTGATTTTATTCTAACTTCAAGGAAGCTAGTTTTTTGAGGGGGAAAGGTTGTCACGTGCCGTACAGATGATATCACGTGACCTATACTTGACAAGACTTTGAACCCACATTGCAAAGAGCCTCGTTATATGCTGGATCACGTGACATGCAGGAACCATTTGCCACACACAAACTAAGACCCCAGGGGGTACCAAGGTGTGACAAAATACACCTACATCCCTTCTCCCACGAGGCAATTACCTCAAGCCAAAACAAACCAGCTTACTTTACTAACAGCATTTATTCTCATATCATAGCTTTTCATAATATCATATTAAATCTAGCTAGTTGAATACATGCATTACAGATACATAAGCTTGCCTATCATTATCTCGAAAATAAATTAAGAACAAAGTAACAAAATAAAAATGTACATTATCAATGGTAAAATAATAATCTTACAAAACAAATACTTTACATCATCTGCCTTGCTGCTCATTTATATCTGATGCGCAGAGAAAGGCACCAGGCATTCACTAAGATTAATACTACAATAAATTAAAGTTAAACTCCTACCATATCATGATAATTTCAAGTTTGAAACTTGGACATATTTTCCTGCTTTATAACTATCAAATATTTACAAATTGATAATTCTATACATTCTATTGATTTTTGTTTTAGTTTGTGAATTTTAAGATGTGGCAATGGTGATGTCTCAAAAACAAGAACAGGGCAAAGCACATTCACCATGGTCTGGTAATGGAAAAACCAGGTCATTATTTATACTAGAATCTATATTATTTAGTTACAGCAGTTATTATTGTATACGAGCAACAGAATCTGATAAAGTACAAACATTAAATCTGTGGAAAAGTATTGAGACTTGATAGTACTTAAAAGTGCAAAAAGCTTCTTTCTCTATTGTGTAATTCCAGAAATCATCCATAGCCACAATGGAGAATTTTTAGACCCCCCCCCCCCCTCCTTCCCCTACCACCAGAAATCCTAATTTTCTTCCATACAAACTCTGTATTTTGTTCTTACTCTAACCCCCACCCCTCAGAAATTCCAAAAACCTCGGGGTGGGTGGTATGAATAATTTCTGGAAATACACATTGTAACTTTTTTATGGTTACATTGTGTGCACTCTATAGAGCTTTTAAGTTGTGACATTTATGGATCCAACTGCTTACAAAATACCACTGCAATAAAGAGAAAATGTTATCAATGATTTAATCTCCAAGTAGAAGTTTGGACAACTTATCCTGTCATGAAGAAAAAATACCAAATATCTTCATAGAACTGCTTTTCATTTTGGACCAGACAGTTGTTTTTTTTCACACTTAAAAGCCCTATAATGAGAAGGATATAAGAAGTAGAGAAAATCCTGTATATTTGAATCCAGAAGTTATTCATCACATGAAGTGTTCTTACCAGGAATTTCTTTCAGGGGGTCAAAGGGCCCACCAATCCGAAATTTAGGGGCCATTTAGAAAACTGGAAAGGCCATTTCCAAAATCTTAAAACAACGAATAATAATGTTTTTAGCCAGTAACTCTGTTGCAAATCTACAACAATGTAAAACAGTTTTATTAGTAATGACAACGCAATAAAATTTYGTTGGGCAGCCATACTTGGGCCATCAATAAACAAGGGCAGTTAACACAGACTAATCCCAGACGTCTTGGCGATGGTGGCTATRTTCGATTCGTGGCGTTTCATGTGGACTTTCACCTTGTTTATTGACAATATAATGCGACTTTTATTATTTCAAAAGTACTCTAAATCTTTTAAAACTATCAGGAAGTATTCTTTGGATAATTCATGCGCCCTTGGGGGCGCATAGATTTGACATTTGTGCGCCATTTCTGATTTTTATGCGCGAATCCCGCAATGGCGCRGCCTGGTAAGAACACTGCACATGCACAACATCTTGTGTAAATTGTTAGTTTACTGAAATCAACCTAAATCCTAATGTTTCCATGCAAGTCGTGATCAATGGTCAATGCAAGACTTGTTAATTTATTATGAGGCTAGTACTTTAATTTAAACAGATTCTTCGTCAAATAGTAAATAGTTAGACTGAAGTGTCTCTGAATTGTAGTAAATTTTTCGGAGAAAATGAGTTTTGAATGACCATTCATCACTCCTTCTTTGGATAGCTTTGCTTTAATAAAACGTTTTTTGTTTGTCTATTTTATTCATTTCAAGTTTTTGCCATTAAAGTGAGAAAAACTAGAAACACCGGCTTAATAGACTTCTTTACCTTGTAATGACCGAGTGTCATAATCTCATGAGAATGAAATTCTTTGTTTGAGTCGTACGCATATTTGTGTGTCTTCTCATGGGCAACTGTTAAACAAGATGATACTCTAGAGAACAACATGTGGTCTGAAATGGGAAAGCATTAYGCACAAGGTAGAGAGGTCTATTAACCTAAGGTCCAGTTAATTTTTGTCTATTTCATAAGTTAGACCACTTACATAAGTTTGATGGACCTACGAAATTACTTCACGAGACTTTTCATTTAGTTAATCTTACTACTGAAGCATTACTGGTAAACTAAGTAAAGATACTCAAGGGAATAACAAATGACACAAAATCGGAAAATTCTGAAACATCAAATAAAATAAAAAACTGGAAAAGGATATTGATAGTAGAGGTACCATCCCACGACGCCGACGTGTCCATCATGTTGTAGATGTGTATAAAAAATGATTACTGGATTAGATAGTCACATTGTCCTGACGCAGGAATCTCGTACGCTCTGGACAGGAGCGAACCATATTAGCCAGTCATAGAGGGATGTGAGAATGTACAATGGTATCTTGCATGGCTTGAGGCTAATCAACCTGGATGTTGCATATCGGATAGTATCAGTAATAACAGTTAAGGAATATCTCACTTATTGATTATTGTATTAGGAATTGATATGGACTAAAAATCATCCCGTGGGAGGTGAGGGAATTCACAAAAGACTGCCTGTGGGGGGAGGGGAATCAAGGGACAATTTGTTCTTAATAAATCCATACAAATTTGGTACACACCCAAGAAGAGTTGTTTGTTGGTTCTCTCCTGTGTTATGTGGGGTTTTACTCTAGGTTGCCAGTTTTTCCTAAATTCTTGTATATTCTAAAGAATTACAAGTAAACAAAGAAACAATACTCAAGGAAATGGGAGTACACTTTTTGATAAACAAAATCTGTTATAATAAAAGGATATGAAAATGTCCAAGGAGGGGTCCCACCATTGACGTACAGCACATACAGGTATCCATCACGGTGCGCACCATTAATAGCATAGTACATGGGTAGGTAACTGAATTTTTTAAAACATCTGGTTTCATAGAATCTAATAGCTGCAGTATTAGACGACAACACATGCAAGTATATTGCTTTGCAGTTCTGTTGTTCTGGAGTGGTAAGGTTAGAGATGAGGCTGTCCAATAATAGAGAACCTGTGAATTATTTGAATAATATTAATATTACTATTGATTAATAAAACAACCTTGAGTAAATGTCTGGTTTTAGAAAATATCCATGCAATCTCCACAATATACCTTCTCAGACAATCCTTGCCCATCCCCCAGAAATTCCAATCTCTCTCTATTGGAGTAGGTATAGATATTTTCTGGAACTGCACAAAATACTCTCCTAAGACCTTCCCCACTGAAATTCCAATCCCCCTCACGGGGGAGGCTTGAATATTTTTATAAGATTGCACAATATATCCTCCTCAGATCCTCCCCAACCCTTGGAAATTCCAATCCCCTTTGCAATGGGCAAGGTATGGAATGTTTAATGATGATTCTCAAATAATGGATATTGAACAGTATGTTATATTACTGCCTTACCTATTTTCCGTCTTCTATAATTTTTGTCGACTCCTATACTAAGGATATATGCAACATGATAATTTTCTTTATAGTTGTAATCAAGGATACCAGCATCCTGTGATAAAGCAATCGTAGTATTGTTACAAGCTAAATTCAATCTGTGAGTAAGTAGTGCCATGACTTAGATCATCCCAGAGGTCTTTAAAGTTCAATTTGTGAGTTAGCCATACCCTGACTTAGATCAGCCCAGAGATTGTTGCAGGGTTTGATCCATGAGTTAGCCCTACCTTGAC